TTCCCTACATTGCAGAGGGACATGCACTACCGATCCTCCCTCCTCCTCCTCATTAGCTCAGAGGGAAGGTGGCTCCAGAACCCTCATCCTTATGAGAACAACCACCGTTGAGGTACCGGGTAGAGAAATGAAGTCCACCTGCAGACTGAATGCTTCTCCTGTGCTCCAAGAAGCACCAAGAGAGAGCACAGAGACAAGTCCACATGAACCCAGTGAAGTCAGAGGACAGATGACCCTGGCCTTGTCCTCAGTTTCAACTCAGTCTCAGAACCCAGTGGAAAGCTTGGGATCAGCACTTATGGCCTCTCTCACCTACTTTATTTACCTCTCAGAAGAACTTACCCTCTCGCCATCTAGGAGGAGATGAACCCTGAAGTTCATGGATTCGTTAAGAACAATCTCTTCGTTCCTGTACAAGATCTGAAACACTCTGCTGTAGACGTTGTTCTCATGAACACAGGCTGAGCAGAGGCTGGAGTCACCTGTGCAAAACAACAGAGCATTGATTTGATTACTGCAATGAGATCATGTTCTATTGTACATGTTGACTTCCCCGATTAACCAGGCCCATTGTATCTGTACTTGTAATTAAACACTTGCATTCCCGATAATTGATGTTAATGATTCAGAATGTTATTGCAGGATAAAGGTCCCCTGCTGAGGCATTTCATGAAAACAACTGTTAAACTAAAGCAGACAGGCTGGATTTCCAAGTGGGAGTTGCTGACCTTGCAACAGCATTAATTTTGGTGACATTTTCTCCTAATGAAGGATAAGCCTTGAATTGTTCTCCTAGGAGGCTTAATACACAAGACTGTAGATTTCTGGTGTCTAGCAGAATGACTTGGATCTGCAAAATTTGGCTGCAAATCTTAACAAGAGAAGGATCTTGGGATTTCTGACACTTCTAGGAAGCCCCATTACTGGGTTGGAAATGCCAACAGAACTGCCCCTCTCTGCTGTAAGGTGAAATGCAAATGTACGACGGAGCCTGAAAATGAAACTCAATGGAGAAAAAGCCTGAAAAAAAACTTTTCCAAGCCTCCTTTGGATCTGGAGAAAGAGACAGCTGCCATTCTGGCTTACACAGATGAGACAATAGTGGAGATCTCCAGCTCTAAAACCATGAGCTGCTACAGCTTGACTTAACAAGCCAAGCTCTTTTAGATCGGGATAAATAGACTCCTGCCCAGACACAGCTGGGAGTGGGTGCAAGCAGATTTGTTTGATCTTCAAATGGTGGATTACACTAGCTATGGATTCACCAGCTTTCAGTGCCATTGTTAATCCGTCCCTGGATACACATTGGCAAACCAGGCCCAGACCTAGGGCCCTAAGTGAAGAAGGGGCCCAGTTGTGCTTATTTTACATATTATAATTATTGAGTGAAAAAAGTAATATAAAAAAAAAAATCACCTTCAGCTAGGGTCCCATGAGTTTGTTTGCCTAGGGCACACTAAAGGGTTAATCTGGCCCCGACTGTATCCATAAGTGACCTAAGAGTCTCCGAAACTCTCAGGTTGCACTATAAGTACTTAACAGGAAATCCAGGAAATAACATTATTACTTCAGAGGAATAACATCCCTTCAAAGTTTCCTCGAAGCCAGGCCTAACCAGAGCCCTACTTGAATCCTGAAGGAGCCCCAATTTTTGGAGCATGATGCACAAGCAGAGGTTGGCTGATGCTTTGCTGGAATTCAATTCTATGAACCCGGTGGTATGAGAGTGCTCCTGTCCTTAACAAAAACCTTCGTTCAGAGATGAGACCTTTTATTAGATCAACTAAGACATTGCAAAAAAAAACCCTACCTTTTTCTGTAAGCTTTCGGGCTCACACACCCTTCATCAGGCTCAGGAAAAGTTAAAGATGGTAGAAAGTTCCCATAGGTAGTTTCTTTTCGTCTCAGACCAACACAGCTACCAAATACATCCCTGACTTTAACACAAATCTATAAAAGTGCAGGGTTCGCTGTCTTGGAAAAGAGATAATGCTGTGATCCCTACTCGAACAGGTCATTAGACCCATTCTTTTATAAACAGGAATGCACATTCACTATGTGCTTTCTTGCATGGGGGTCTGTATACAGCGGTTTTTATTCTACATCTTTGGCAAGGGCACAGTGCTGTTCAGGAGGTCTGAGTGATCGCTGATTACTGACACACACGCGGGTCAAAAGGAGGCAATCTTGCTATATGAAAACCTTTGCTTTGGCTTTGCTCTTCTCATATTATTTACAACTAGGAGTTGTATGGCTAAGAGTATATGAAGCAGCGTGGAAGACTTCCAACTGTGAATTTTATTTGTAACACTTAAAAAGGAGAAGCTGGGACTGACTTATAGGCCATGGCTGGCAGATAAATTGAGCTTCCATAATAATATACAAATATATATATATATATATATTTATCTATCACCTGTCTGCTAGGGTCAGGCAAAGGTGACCCTGCAAAAGTCTGCCGTCTAACAGGAGATATATTGTGAGAAAAAATAAGATCAGACCTGGGGACATTAATGACAGAGTCCATACGGCTGAAACTCAAAACAATTCATGTCATTTCTCTTAACGCTGATTTGTATCCGGCAAACTGAGGACCACACAAAACGTTTCCTCCGCCCAACTCCTCCTGCACGTGCAGAGTAGACAGTCCATAGAAATACACTTTTACTTTCTTGTGCTTTCAGTTAGAAGACTTGAGCCTGATTAGCTCTTCAACGGCACGCAGTCATATTTATTTTAATTTAAACCTCATCATTTGCAAGATACCAAGGAAATGATATTACCGATATAATGTATTCTCATTCCTTTCTGGCGGACAAAAGGAGCTTTACGTTATTTGATTTGGATATTGATGTACTGACTCTCTTTGGAGATGGAAAGTTTAATGTGATTTTCATCTTAAACACACTCCTACCCGGACCACTGCCAACACGTAATTGGTTTAAAAGCTAGATTTGCAAGGTGGTGTAATAGCCACCATTTTTTGTTGAGAAGGTCAAAGTCAAAGACAGCCAACAATCCCCAAGATGTTATGTATCCATGTGAATTAATACAGTGCCATGGTGCAAAGTCCCTTCTCAAACCCGCAGCAGCTTTGCAATTTGGCATTGTCTTGATGCACAGAGATCTACGCTCGCAGTGGTCTGCGGAGCTCCAGAGCAAACCGCTGCAGCACGCTAGCTGCCTAATCATGCCTAATGCTGAGCCCTACTCACTCACAATATTGTGAAGAACGCAGCCTTCACTTCTGCGTCTGTCCCTAGACACTGCTACACAAGGCTTGAAAGCAGTGCTTGGTCCTTTGCAGAGAGCAGGGCTCTTAGACTGGATGCTGGCAACCTGCCCCTCTGGGCACAGTGGAATAGCAACAGCTTTGCGGTGTCAAGGGACCTCTGTGTTCCTACTATATAAAGGCTGGGGTTTAGTTGAACACATGTACACTGCTTTAAGATTGAATCGATGGCTACTCCAGACACTCAGGGCTCTTTATTTCCTCTTCAAGAGTGAATGTCCCTGCTGGCAGCTCAGCCATTGCAAGTGTCTGCTGTATTGAGAGGCTAGTGATACTTTGGGTTAATGCATAACACATATGTACACACACACAACTTATTTTTTAAGGTTCCAGTTGCCAATTTTTCTGTGCAAATAGGACAATTTTGATCACCCGCGGCCATTCTAGTGATACAGCTGTCCCCAGTTTCTTTGTGAATTGTGGTACATTCCCCAGTCTCTTTGTGAATTGTGGTACCATTCACCCACTCCACCTTCTCTCCTCCCAAATTAAAACAGAAATCAGGAAACAGATCGCCAAAGCCCTCTTTTTTCCCCTTTGGCAGGGGAAGGTATTACTGGAAGATCACGGGATTTCAAACAACCACATGCTTTTTCCCCCACCTTGTCTCACAATTAAATCGTGGTGTCAGCAATACTGTGATAAGACATTAAAATACAAGGTGGATTCACCTCATCCTTATCCAGAAGATTTCTTCTGTAGTTTGAAACGTCAGAATCTTTTTCTCTGGTTGGAATTTTTAATTTGCTCCTATCTTTTAAAATGTAGACAGCTGTCATTGCATTACAGCCTACAAAGACTCACCCATCATATGTGGAAGACAGGTTAGGCTCCATCAGATGTTATTAAACAGGACCTGCCTATACCAGACTTAAATTCACTGTACCAGCCCCAGAGAAATCATTATACATTGGGTAAATGTTATAACTCCTTCCCTCTGCTTTCAAAACTGCCTTCACACCCTTAGGAACAGAGTGCCATCAAACACTTCTACCCACCTCGCCTTAAACCGACTGACCTTCATCTCCCACCTCAATGTCAATTAGCCCAATAATGAGAAGACACATGTGAGCTATTAAAGACCTGAACTTCATCACTCCCCACTGAAGCAAGACAAACTAACTATATCCTGCTAGGGACCCATCACTTCCCCTTCATTGGGTGGGGGTATGACTACCACCACTTCAACTCTGCCAGGATGCTCCTGCCACACCTTCCACCACTGAAGACAGCTACTCCTAGCAGCGATTGCCACTGGAGCATGGGTGGCTACTGCCAGCTCGTGTGGAGGGAGCAGTCCCAGTCCTCTGTATTTGCAGCTGGGGTGCTGGAGGGTCAAGAAAAGAGTGCCATTTCCGAAGAGCCCTTCCAAATGTGTGTCCATTGGAGTGATGATAATGTAGAGTTGCTCTCAGGGATGAGGGTTCTCACTGACATGTTCTGTGTCTAAGAAGCTTGGAAATTTCTTTCTATGCTGCTTGCAATGACTTGATGTGAATGAAGACTGGCTTATTTCTCCCTTTCCTGTGACTGAGACTGCCCTTCTGACTTGTATTCCCATGAAACCACTGGTACTTTTGCAGCTATGGCCATATAAAAAAAAATATGCCCCATGCTAGCTGAACCTTTCATTTTTAAGTACCCATCTCACATGCAACACCTGACTGGAGGGTCACCAAGCTACTGGTCCTGTAGGATAAAGTGCACAAAGAGCTGGGTCCCAGCACCGCTGCCATGCCTCTACTTTCTCTCCTCTCCCCTACACAAGTGCCTTAATTTTGCATTTCTTCATTTCCAGTGTCTTACATCTACACCGCTTTTGGGGGTGCCCTGATCCTAACTAACATGGGAGGGGGGGAAGGAGGGAGGGTGCAGTGGCAGGCAGATAGAGGGGCTCAGACTCTACTCCCAAATCCCAGTGTATATGTAGAAATATGGGATTTACAGTTCCCCGAATTTTCACTCACCACTGTCACTCAACCCTGCTTCCTCCTATGCACCTGTCCTCCCCTCGATCCAAATCTTGGCTTGCCAACTACCTATCTCCATTCACCCCCCTCCCTTCACTGCAACCCCAAATCCCTTTCTTCTATAGCCCCCTGCTATAAGTCCTTTCTCCTATAGACCCACCCCTCTCCAGCCAGCATTCAGACATGTCACTTGTTTCCTCTTAAAAAGAGCTTGAGAGTC